TCAGGACGGCGGGTGAGCAAGGAAAGAAAATAAGTGAAAAGAGTGAGGGGGCGGGAAAAAAACTACGTATGGTGCGTGGTGTCGGTTTTCCCCCCGCTGTGATGGATGGTTTTGGCTGGAGCTGTGACCCTGCTGATTGCGTGCATGTTCTTCGCTTCTTTCCCTTCTGATAACATCACACACACAATCAAGACCCAATGACATTCGATTCCCACTCAGGAATTCTGACCCCAAAAAATGTAGAGGGCTCAAATGAAACCAATTAAAGTAAATGGAGTGCCTCAGGGGTGGCACGGTGTGTAAGTGGTTGGCCCATCTGCCTCACAACTTTGAGGTCTGGGTGTGAATCCGAGCTTCCTGTGTGGAGCGTGCATGTTCTTTCTCCTTCCACAGCTTCATGTTACACACCAAAAATGCGTATTCAAACATTTAGAGTGAAGGTTTTCATATTAGGGTTTCAAGCCGATTTTGAGGTTTGGAAAAATGTGTTTTCAAGGGTTTCAAACTGGGGTTAGGGTTTAAAGTCAAGGCTTCAAGCCAAGTTTTTGGTTTTCAACAAGGCTCAGGGCTTCAAAGGAATGTTTTTTATGCCTGAATTATGGTTTCAAAAAAAGGCTTTGGCTTTCAGATGCGGGTTTCAAGGCATGGATTTTGGTTTAAAAGTTAGGGTTTCAATCCAGGTTTAGGGTTGCAAAGTTAGCATTACAGCCAAGGTTAAGAGTTTCAGATGAGTGAGGGTTTCAAATTGGGGTTACAAGACAGGGTTAGGAATTCAAGGTCATCCTTTTTTAGACCAAGTTTGGGTTTCAAACGAAAGGGTTAGGGTTTAAAATTTAGGGTTTCAAGCCATGGTTAGGATTTCAAACCTAGCGTGTGGTTTCAAATAAGGGTTCCAAAGCAGGATTAGGGTAAAAATCAGGTTTTCAAGACAGGATTAAGATTTCAAATTAGGGTTTCAAGCAGAGTTTATGGTCTCACACAAGGGTTAAAGCAGGTGTAGGATTTCAAAGTTAGGGTTTAGAGAAAGAGGTATGGTTTCAGACAAAAAAACAATTTGGTTTTGAAGACAGAGTTTTAAATCAAGGTTTCAAGTCAAGTTTAGGATTTGGTTTCAGTTGAGGTTGGAAGCATTACATCACATTTTCTGTCCAAAACAAACATTTAAATAGATAAAGGTGAGACTGTAACACTTCCTGTGTGTCGTTCGGGGTGCGGTGTGGTGCTGGCAAATATTGAACATTAAACAAAGATTTGCGGCTTCGAAGTTTTCCGTGTCTGTTTGGTCACACGTGTGGAACGTCAATACGGACTGTGAAAATTCAACCAGGTGATTCCCGGGGTTTATCTTGTTTTTTTTTTTTTTTGTTTTTTTTCAGATAGCAAGCATAACTATTTGTTTAACTTTTTTACACATCCTCTTCCCCCACCGACCCCTCCGCCGTCAAGGCCGTGAAACTAGATACTCCTGACTCCCTTACTCTGTTTTCACCTGGTCGTCACGGTAACCCCACAACACGGGGGCGGCCGTGAATGAAATTCCTGTGTGTCATCAATCACTTGCCAACAAAGCGGCGACTGTTATGGAGATTGGGGGGTGGTTTTGTTTGGGAGGGGGTGAGTGTGCCAGCTGAAGCTAAGGGCCCCCTTGCATTCAGGGGCCGGTGGGGGACTGACGCCCTGGATGTTTACACGGCACTCCGACATTGGAGCTCAATCAGGTAAAGTTCAGCAGCATGTCGAGGAATGTGCGTGTCAACACATGACATGACAGTAATGTGATATTCCTTTAACATGTAGATGTTAAAAAAGAACTGGACCTAAAATTGACCCTTGTGGTACCCCGCAGTCTAGTTTATGTGTTCTGGAGAAACATGGATCCATACCTGCAAAGAAACTGGAATGCATTTGTCAATCTGCATTATACCTTGATATCATTTGAAACATCTTCAAAGCAACACACGACTCAAAACATTCAGTTTCCTTCATTATTAGGCAGTGTCTAACAACATTAATAGTGCAAATATCAATGGCATCTGCTTCTCTGAAAAGGTTTAAGTTGATCGAGTATCAAAAATAATGACGCTGCCATATTAAAAAATTTTCCCGTACTCACTGAGACATGTTGCATGCTGCAAAACGCAACTGTTCATTTGTTCCGTGGTCTGTTGTACTATAAAAATGCCGTATGGCGTCGTCAAGAATTACAATTCTTTAGATAGCTCCTAACCATCTCAGGTTTTATATCCTGCCTTCCTTCTGCTGGCAAGCCCAGCGCGTAGCTTGTACCTCAGTGTGTGTGTGTGTGTGTGTGTGTGTGTGTGTGTGTGTGTGTGTGTGTGTGTGCGTGCGTGCGTGTGTGTGTGTGTGCTCGAGAAGTTAGGTGGAAGTTAGGTGGTGAATCTTATGCATGGTCTTGAGCTTCTTGAACAGTGTTGGCATGTGTGCCGTCTGATTTAGAGCAGTGGCTATGTTCAGACATCCTTGTTTTGTCCAGCAGCGTTGTTGAGAGGCCTGGCCGTAAATCTCTTCGGCCAATAGCAGTCCATATGGCTGCATCAAGCTTTTATGGCGTGGCGCTCCGGGCTAAAGGGCTCGCTGGTGCACCACAAGCATGCACGTGTGGGAGACGGCAAGAGTACTTTGGGACTCTTTTGCAGTTTGTGTTGGAAATGTTTGCAAATATGTACGCTCTCTGGATACCAGATTCCGTACACCTGCAGAATATAGCAGTGTATTGGCATCGAATTCGGGAGGATTCTACTTTTATGGCTTTGGGACTAAATGTTTTAACCCTCTACTGTAGCTCGATCAGAAATTCTTATTATTTTTGTGGTTATTTTGTATTGTTATTTGTGAATGTTTATTTTGAAGAAAAACATGTTAGATTTATTATTTTTAAAATACATTCTTCCTGATCAAATATATTTTAACGATTGGTTGGCAACCAGTTCAGTACTTTAAAATATAGGTTTCAGTCATTTTAGAAGTAATGCATTTAAAATAAAATGTGAATATTATTCTTATTTAATATTTTTTAAAATATAGCACTTTAGGGATTTCTAAAAAAAAATTGCGACGGTTTTATATGTCTCACCTATAACTCACATGTATTATATTTAAAATATATTTTGGATGCAATACCGTTAAAATTAATACTTTTGATATGATTTAATGTGTTTAAATCATACAAATATTTTAGATTTATCCTATTTTAAGTGAACATAATTTTTTTTGAATAGGACATTTATTTTTGGGGATAGAATGTATTTAAAATAGTTTTTTTCTTTTTAAGAGGGCAAGAAACTGACTTCAGGCAAGGTCGCTGCACTAGAGGTCGCTGTTGTCGCTGTGAACAACAGCCTGTCTTCAATGCAGACCTGAATCCGAAATGAACTTCTTCCTATGATTTATGAATATGTTGTATTTCCCCGCTGGCCCTCTATAGGTGAATGAATACAAAAAGACAATGCATGCATGGATACATTAGGCACACACACCGGAAATAAAACTAAAGTATAAACTTCAGATTAGAATTTTATGTCTCGTAAATTGCGCCTACATTTTCACAAACAAATGCAAGTCCCATTCATTGCACTAGGTTTTCTCGTATTTAATACATTCAATTCTTCTTTTCAGTAATGCTGTCCTCTTTTCGGGTGTTAAGGTCAGAGCAGGGTCGTTAATATTTCAAATGGGAATGGAGTAAATGTGGAGCTCATAAATATCAAATGTACTGTATGTCCAGCTCTATGAGTATGCACAGTGAGCTCATTTCAGGTACTTACGCAAACAAACCAAAGTGTTTATTATTGTTATTATTTGTTTTATTTTATTTTTAAATCAAATGAAATGTCTTTATGGTGTCTCAGCCCCTTTCAAAAGTGTGGCATCCAGCCCTATGAGTATGCACAGTTAGCTCATTTCAGGTACTTAAGCAAACAAACCAATTTTAAAGTGTTTATTATTATTATTATTTATTTTATTTTTAAATCAAATGAAATATCTTTATGGTGTCTCAGCCCCTTTCAAAAGTGTGGCGACGTGAAGGGTAATTCATTATTCAGGCATTACCTTGGACGTGCGGCTGCTTGGCTGTGAAATACATCACCTGCTATTAATCATTCATAGACTCCATCTGTGCATCTCCAACTCTATAATACACACAAGTCATTCATTCTTGGAAGAAGAAGAAGAAGAAGAAGAAGAAGCCGTCTTATCCAAAACCTCCACTGCTGCAGACAGCAGTCACTGGGACTGCGTACCTTTTAGCATCTCATTGTCAAGTCCGAATCTTTTATCGGACAAATAAACGTATTTGATCACTTACGTGAAACCAAATAGTGTTACATTGACACAGATGGATGAGAGTACTTTGTATTTATGTTGGTTTGTTGGCTAATTGCTGCATGCTGAAAGACTTAACCAATGGGTAGGATTCTGGAATGAACTTTCGTTGTGCCACAGTGGCGCAAAAAGTTCAAATAAATTCTGCGGCTCGATTTGACGTGATAATCGATTTTTTAATTTTTTTTTTTTAAAGCAGCCCGAGAAATAACTGACCAACAGGCAACTAGTAATATACCTTAGTGACACTCTTAAGTTACGAATGAACTACTAACATTCTGAGTCTCTGATTGACTAAGTCATGAGTTAACTCTCTGACTGACTGACAGGTTAAGTAATCAGTGAAGTGAAGCACTGTAACTACCTAACCTCCATTCTGGCTAACCAAACATCAGACTACGATTTGACTGGCCAGTTATCTGACTAACTTATGTACAACAACCAACCAACCAACAAACTGAATGATGAATACAATGAATACCATTGGTATGCTAATTAACAGCCTAGCTAACCAACCAATTAACCAACAAACATTGTACAAATTAAGTCTCTGCTTGTAGCGGGTATCTTCCAGTTGACGCGTTCCGCCCAAGTGGATCCTGAAATAGATTTTTTTTAAAAAATGAATTTCCTTTTGTTTGATGTTATTTCCGCAGTGTTCTTGATGGCCCAACACGGCTTCATGAAGATGAAATATGATCCCGAACGGAGGAGCGATGGCGTCAAAACAAAGGCACGAATGCACACGCACGAAAGGAAACACAAGCTCGGACATATTCAGGCGGCGAGCTGCAGGTCTGTACCGCATTGTCTTACCGCCATCCGTCATCCTCGTGAGCGCTAATTGAAACCACCGGCGGCACCCGCTACAAATAACACTCACTCGGGCTTCTCGCTAACAAACAGACGAGCTGTTGAGGATTTTGGCAGCGCATGAAGAGAACGTGCTCGCATCCAGAGACTGCTGCTGCGGGGTCAAATCCATTTCCCCCTTGCCCCCCCCAAAAAAAGAAAAACAAATATATGTTTCTGTGAAGCATCCATAAATCATCCGATTCCGAGCTGGAATGTTTATTACATTCCAAAAGTCAAAAGTATTGTCCAGTGTAAGAATATACCGATCCCTTGATGTGTTTACAGTTTAAAAAAAAAAAAAAATCCAAACAAACTGAATTTATCATCTCGCGATATACATAAAAAATGAAGCCCAACAATGTACAGTATAAAATGAAGCTGCAGCCGATGCTTTCTCTCGGCGTAAAAAGCAGGATTTAAGAGGCTATATCGTTCGATAATCTTCAACAAAAACTCTGAAAACGCTGAAATACTTTCTGTTTTCACTCTTCTTCCTTGAAATGTACAGTGTCAAACAAAATGGTGCGCAGCCATCTAGGGGTTCACAGTAGAATTACGCCCAAAAATAAATGTGCTCAAAAACCCATCGGGTGTACTACCTTTATCTTTTGATGGGCATTTACTGTACAGGAAAAATTCTGAAGTATGTGAGTTCATAAACAGTGAACCGACAAAGGGGTTGATTGTGTATTTATTTTTCCTCTGACTTTTCCAAGCACCTACGCCACAATCGGATGGACGAGCGAAAGATGTAACACGCACACTCATGCAGGTGCACGAAAGTCAACACGCGTTCATCACGTAACCAAACGCATCAAGTTTGTCCTGACCTGTTAAGGGGGAAGCAGACACGAGAACTAATTGGCAGCCCAGAATGTTAACACCTGCACACAGCCCATGTCTTACACACACACATACACATACACACACATACACGGGAACTGAAAACAAAGAGCGAGCAGTGAAGCAGAAGAAAAGTGAGAGGAGGCGGTGTCAGTGGGTGAGGCCGACAGGCAATGATTGATGCTCGTCCATCACGCGAGGCCTGACACTCTTCCCTCCCTCCCACCTTGCCTCCATCTGCAGCAAAGTCATCTGCGTGTGCATGTGTGCGCGCGTGCGTGCGTGCGTGCGTGCTTGCTTGCGTGCGTGCGTGTGTTCCAGCCTCTTTCAATCAATACAAACTGAAGCACTACAGCCAGATTGCTGACGAGACACAAGAATTGTGTGCGCGAGGGAGGAAGCGCATTTCACATGCAGATTAAAATCCCGCCATGATAACCTTTCGAGTGTGTGTGTGAGTGTGTGTGTGGCTGGTCACGTGTCAGCAGGCCTTAAATGTCGGAGGCACTTGTGTGACAATCGGTTAGATGTTTCTGCGATACTGATAGACAACACCAATTTCAGAAGGGTGACTTCAAGGGCACCAGAACATTGACCCCC